GTAACCTTGTATATTTTGCATACATCCATATCAAACATCCACAAAAGCTACGAAATTAGAAATGCACATTTCATATGAAGATTTACTAGCCATTTTTGACATCCATAGAATTGTCTCCCACTCTCCCTTCCGACGCACAACGGGCCTTTCAATCCACACCAACAATACACTGCAGGCTCGTAATTAGTTGTGCTCTTACGTTCTTTGGTACCACTTGATGCAGACGACGACGCCATTGATAGACACGAGCTCAGGAAATGGAGAAGAAGAACGACAGGCGCAATGGAAGGAATTAGGGCTACAGCGGTGTTATTTGGGAAAGGATAGAGTCATTAAGTGATGTGGAAATTTTTAATCCATGTCAGCAACGGAACCCTCAATGTACGATGTCCACGTGAGCGAGCAACGGGCTAACCGGGAAGCATCCGGTTATGTAGACCTAATTGACAGGATTTTCATTGTTGGCGGGTTCAATTGAGGGTTTCCAAAGTACGGGGACTCCATTGACGGATCGTGCATAGTAGGAGGGCGCAATTGACAGTTTTCCCTAATCTAAACAAATCACAAACAACTAAAAAATAAAGTATTACACAAAAATGTGTAATTTCCAAAACGATAACAAATAAAACTAGTTAAAATTACAAACATAAACAACAACAATTATATACTATCAAACTCTCCCCTACTTAGTCCATTACTCGTCCTCGAGTAAACATTAACAGAACACTTCACAATCCACATAAATATACAAATTCAAAGGAATAAAATGTTTAGTTTTAAAGTCATCTCCAAATTACAAAGACATAGAGTCTTCATGATCTTCACGAACAAATATTCTTTCAATTGTTTGCCTCCCAAAAATCCATGTATAAGCAAAGATAAATTTTCTCTCATTCTATCATTCTACCTAGGAGTCTTTTCAGGTTTTCAATCATAGTCTCTGTTTTTATTTTCCATTTTCTCCCAACTCACTCATTTTAGGCACTTTTGCTTAGATTGCCTAATTTTTAAATTAAGTAGCAAGGTATACAATTCAATTGTAAGAAGTATATCAAAATTATTATGAAAAGGAAAAAAGAAAGTGTAAAGAGGAATCCAACACCGAAGGAAAAAACACCACTTACGTATATTACATAAAATTGAGAAAAAATTTAATTCACAATCTTAAAAAAACTTCTGTAAAAGTACAAAAAAAGAATTTTGAGATTCGGACAGAGAGAGTATTATATTTCTCTTAATTTCTTTTTAAGAATTTTCCCTAAATAAGACTAAAATAATTGGAAAGTTCCTAAATAGGACTACTCCCTAATTTATTCTCTAAATAGGACTAATTTAATTAGTGTTCCTATTATACCCAAACCCCGAACCTTTTTTTACGCATCAATCAAACTTTTCTTTTATTTTTTCCTCCTGGCCTCTTTCCTACTCAGTCCTCACTCATCTCCTCTCTGTAGCTACCATCGATCCATGTAAATCCAACTACTCTTCTTCTCTTTTATTCTCTTTTCTTCCTTAATAACTTTAATTTTATTTTTCTGGTCTCGATTTCTCTCATCTCCGACAAATTTTAGAGGTTTGGGTGAGAAATTTCTCTCCATTTTTGGCCACTAGTGGCCGGCGAGCGGTGGCGAGCGGCAGCGAGCGGTGGCGAGCGGCAGCGAGCGGTGGCGAGCGGAGGCATCCACCAGTGAGCAGCGGCCAGGTATGACTTCCTCTTCCTCTTCCTCTTCTTCTTCTTCTTCCTCTTCTACTCCTCCTCCTCCTCCTCCTTCCATCATCTCTATTTTCATTATTTGTCAATTTTTTATTTAATTCGAGATTTTTTATATTTAATTTGATTTTTGTTTGCTTATTTTTTATTATTTATAAATTTAAAAATGGCATAATTAAAATTATTTCACCCCCTAAAAACCATATATTGGAAAATTAATTTCAGAAATATGTCATTTTTATGAGAATACCTCTATAATTGTACTGCTTTGAATCTGAAATTTTCACTTCGAAAATGTCATTTTTATGGCATTAATGTTACAAAGATGGCAATATTACACTTTTGAAAAGACATTAGTGTCATGTTCTTTAATACGAAAATGTCATCTTATTTATGTCAGGATGACATTAATAACACTCAGATGGCATTTCAACTACAAGGTGACACTTGAGTAATTGTCACACAAGATCAATCTGAGTTTAGATCTGAGATCTACAGTGGTTGACTCAGTGGAGGCGGTGCCAGCGTCGGCGCCTGAGTTCGCACTGTTCACGCAGATGAGTCACACTGGTGTTGGATGAGGCGGCGATATCGTCAGATGTGGCCATGATGACGTCGGAGATGGCGGCGGCCACCGGCAAGGGTGGATGAGGTCAGAGATTCAGAGGCTACTGGCGCCTGTGGTGGCAGCGGCGCTGCGGCACTTACGCCGGTGCCGCCTATGATGGTGGTGGTGGTGGCAGCGGTGGTGGTGACGGCGCCTACGCTGGTGGTGGCGGTGAAGGTGGCATCGGAGATCTTCACTGGGAACCGTAGCTTCTTATATCTTCTTTTAGTATTCTAGTTCATATTATTAATAAATATACTAATTTATTCATTAAGGGTATTGATGTCAACTCATCTCTCTTAAGTTCTACTGAAGTAAAGGAAAATTGGAAGTCCCATTGTTGCACTCTTAATAAGTTTTAGTCCTAGTTAGGGAATTATCTCTTTCTTTTTTAAAATATTTTATGGAGATCATTTATTGATATTAATTTTTATAGAACAATAATGATTACAATATCAGAAAGAAAAAAATTTAATATCTCGTGCATCGCACCGGGGTGTCTTTAGGTTGCTTTTAATGGGCCTCAAAGACTTTCACCTTAATGGACTACTATTCATAACCGATCCATCCAAGTGCAAGGGTGCTACAGTTTAATTTAGGTAATGCCTAGAATAGTTACACGTGGGTTTGTTTAATTTCAATAATTTTGTAATATTGGAATTAATTGAATCAGTTCATTATATAATAATTTAGTAATATTAATATTGAAATTTTCTAAATCAGTTCAATCTATTAAAATTGACAAAATCTAATCGTAGTGATTGCATTGGTTGAATTTACTGAATGGTAGAAAATTATATTTAAAATACAATTTATTAATAAATAAAAAATTAGATTTTTTTAAAATTATTCCTAAAATACAAACTTTTTATAAAAAATCCCAAAATAAAAGTATTTTACAAAATAAGACTAAAATTACTGTATATAGGGTCATTGTCACTTGATGTGAAAATTGAACATAAGTTATATTACCAAAATATTTATTATAGTCACTGCACTTAACAGATCACGTTTTCATAAACAATCTTTATTGTAGTCATAATTATGTAATTATTTCAAAAATTTATATGCAACATACCTATTTGAACATTTTCTCATAAATTTATATATGAGTACAATTTAAGAATGACACACTTTCACATATTTGCAATTTTGCACAATCTCCTGATTTGCATGTTTACCTAAGCAATTCATCTAAAAATATAATTCTTTTTAAATGTAAAATCACCATATTACTTAGGCAATTTGCATAAATAATTTACCTTGCATCGCGCAGTTGAATTACTAACAAAACATTTTACTGGAAGGAAAGATTTTAAAAGGAGTTAGTGTGAAACAAAAGATGTTAATTTGCATACATTCCTTAACACCTTGTGTTACCGTGTTAGCTAGCCATTCCAATTCATTATGCGATAATACCCAAACATCACTTATTATGTCATGAATATAAATAAAATTCAAAGACAGACTCTATCGCGTATTGATTACATCGTTAAAAAATCACACTATAAATGATCACATAGGACTGAACATTGAAAATGAAAATGTTCATATAATGTGTTTTGAAATTATATTCATGGATTTCATGCTACATGCTTCTTTATATTTTGTTGGGTTACAAAAATTTATATACTACTCCGTAATCATTGATAAATGATATTGAATATGTTTCATTTTACATCAAAATTTAATGTTGTACGGAATATAATTCTAAATGATTCAATTAATTACAAGTATGTTTTTTATTGCAATTAATTACAAGTTTTTTTTATTTCACCCACAAAATTCACCACCCGTGCATCGCACGTAGGAGTGGACTCGGGCCAAGCCAACCGGCCCGAAACCGGACCAGCCCGCTACTGTGCGGGCCCGGACCAACTCGGTGAACCGGTTGGTTGACCGGTTCGGGCCACCCGGCCCGGTGGGATGGCGGTTCGAGCTTGGGCCCTTCAAAAGATGAACCGGCCCGGCCGGTTCAGACCCGGGCCGGGCCAATTTTTTTTTTTTTGAATTTTTTTTAAGTTTTTCAGTTGGGCTGGGTATTTTAGGCCATTTGAGATGGTTAGGGTTGGTTTGGAGATAGGGATGGACTAAACCGGGTCGGCCCGACCTAAAACCGGCCCGGCCCGCTTTTGGGCCCGGACCGGACCGGTTGTCTGGTTCCGGGCTTTTAGCCCATTTGGGCGGGTCGGGAGGGCCGGGCTCGGGCCCAACTTTTGGTGAACCGGCCCGGGCAGTTCGGGCCAGGCCCGGTTCAATTTTTTTTTTTTGTTTTTTCAATTTTTTTGCTTTTCTAGGTTAGGATTGGGTGTTTTGGGGGGGTTTGGGGGATGGGGGTGAAGGGGGGGAGGTCGGGTGTTAATTAGAAACCAAAAAAAAATGAACTTGACCCAGGCCCGGCCCGGCCCGGTTAGGCCCGGACCCGGTATCAACCCGGGCGGTTCCGGGCCCAACATTTTGCAAAAAAAGCCCGCCCGGCCCGGGTCCATCCCTATTTGGGGGTGAGGGGGGAGGGTTGGGGGTTAACCAGGAAAAGCCAAAAAAAAAATTAGAACCGAGGCCCGACTTGGCCCGGACACGGGGGTTATCCGGGCCGGTTCCGGGCCTCCCCTTCATGAACCGAGGTCTGGCCAGGCCCGAACCGGAACCGGTCCACCCCTAATCGCACGGGTTTTCTACTAGTTAGATATAATTCCCAAATTCAGTTCATCTCAAGTACATGTTCATTTTTTAGTACGCTGCTAAAATAAGCTATATGACCGGAGCCTCTTTTTTACCAATTTGTCAAGCAGCCCTCTTTTTTACCAATTTGGTATTCCAGCCTATTTATGTTTCCATGGCCAACATACGAAAACAGTCAAGGGAAAATGATATCTGGTGCCAAAATAAGAACAATCCAGCCTAAAAAAACAAATGAAGCCATCCGCCACCCGAGACAGTGAACTCTGGAAATTGATGACTGGTTCAGGACATTGAAAGAAGAAGAGCAGGCACAATACTCTGTTTCTTCTTTTATATTGAACAGAGATTCATTCATTTCCTCACCTGTTTGAGCAGAGAAACCTTTTTCTTTATGAGGAAAACAAAAAAAATGGCAGTTCATGCCTCTGGAGCCATTATCCAGGTGCAAGTTGATCTTCTTCACCTACGACTGCACCTCTCGTCAGCTTCTTCTTCTTCGGCTTCCGGATTCCCCGTTTTTTCTTCATCCTCTTGACATGCTTTTCCCACTCCCTCCTGTGTTTTAAGTAAAGCAACATAGCAGCACGTGCATCTTCCACCTGAAATAAATGCAGTAACAATTCTAATATTGAAATGCTTTTAATAGTAGAAAGGTTTGTAGCTTGTGCTCCTCCCCCTCCCCCCCCTCCCCCCTCTGTACACACACACACATAAATGTGAAAGACAAACCGGGCAATGCTCTCCATTTTGTATATCTGCTCCTAGAACTTCGGCTGCAAGACTCCTAAGTGCACGACTACGTCCTTCTCTGCTTTAAACAAACAAACAAACAAACAAACAAACAAATAAATAAATAAATAAATACATAAATAAATAAATAAATAAATAAATAAATAAATTTTTCATCATCATTTTCATTTACCCCAGTGCCGCAAAGGCTCCCACCTACGGTGGGGTAAGGGGGGGTCGGATGTACGCAGTCTTACCCCTGTACTAAAGCATAGAGAGACTGTTTCCGGATGACCCATAGTGAAAATCGCGTCCAAGATTGCATGGACTGACTGCTGCTCCATAACAAAGAAGCTCAGACAGTTTAGTGAGCCATTTTGCTTTATTCCATCATAATCTCAAGCCAAAAAATAATGAATCTTTGGCTCCATTGCAAATGATGGAAAATAAATAAATAAATAAATAAATAAATAAATAAATAAATAAATAAATAAATAAATAAATAAATAAATAAATAAATAAATAAATAAATAAATAAATAAATAAATAAATAAATAAATAAATAAATATATAATTAAATAAATAAATAAATAAATAAATAAATAGACCCACATGCTCAATTCTTTTGCTGTATTAGATTTTCTGCTAGTTTGCAAGATCGGACTCATACAACAATGGAAGAATGATAAGCACAATAAAACATTAGCTAAGAGTTTTTGCTCAGTGTAAACAAGTGCCAAACTGCCAACCCTTTCTCCAGCACAGAAGACTGCTCTTTACAGCTGAGGATTGCCAACAAGGCACTAGAGGACTCAAATCACCAGAGGCGCAAGGCGCAAAATCGAGCTCACTTGACTCATGTCAGGCGCCCCATCTATATACTATAAAATATAGACCATAGTTGTAATTTTAAAAATATAAAACAAGTTAGCACTATTCTGCCCAAGCCCCAGTCATTCCCTGGCTGGGCTTGCCATTGTTGCTGGGCTGGGCCGTCCAATCCACAGGCCTAGTACCATTCGGCCAGCCCGGCTAGATATTGTTGGGCCAATATCCCAACAATAACAATAAAAATAATCATTGAATGAGTAAATCCATTTTCTTTATGTGTTCCTGATTCTGCAATCTAATCCCCGTTGCCAAGTAATTGAGTGCCTCAATTAACTAAAAAGTGGTCGATTGAACCCCTCACACCCTCCTGATTTTGGCATCATCGTTGACAAGATATTGGCAAAGGTTACACAGGCTTCTTTCTATGGAAATGAATGAGATACCCAAGTACGATGGCTCCATTGTTAGGACGTAAGGGTTAGTTGACCACTTACCAGATATTGAGAGTCGGGATCACATCAAATTGCAGACTCCGGAACTGTTAAAAAACCAAACAAAGATTTTCGCACATTTTTATTCTTAAGGGTGTATTTGGATCAAGGACAATGCTAGGGAAAAGAAGCTTATTCTAAAGAAACTTTCTTAAGTTAGGTTTTACCTTAAAAACAATGAACAATAACATTCTAAAATATACTCGTAAAATAGAAACAAATAAATATGGGTCTGAAAGAACATCTAAAACAAATGAAAGTACCCACAATTAGAACAAAACACAACTAAAATGAAAAAATAGGAGTTAATGTTTACAATTCTCTAAATAGGAGTAATACTTTGTGGTTCGACAAAAAACCCCGTGTAGGGTTTGAAGCTATTAACCACTGCCACCAGACAGCTCCCGCCAGCCCCCGTGCTCTTGGATTGCTGCCGCCTCTGGTCGGCAGATTGCCGCCAGCAGACTTCTGTCGCTGCTAGCAGCCACCAGCCTAAACTCTAATCCTAAAGACTAAACGCTAGGGTATTTTTGTCTACACGAGATATATTACTCCTATTTAGGGAAATTAAAACATGAACTCCTATTTTTGAACTTTCCTTATCTTTATTTTTTCCCAACTTTTCATGAGTGTTTTCTTTCCTTCTTATTTTCAAGGTTCCAAACAGACCCAAAAGGACAGTATAGGAAAAAGGCAGTAGAGAAAGATTACTTTAGGAAAGGTTGGTACTCGGAAGTATCACGCACGTCATTCTTTGGGTGACTTAACAGCAAAGCCTACATGGAAAATAAACAATATTCAAGATTGCACACACTTGCTGCTGAACCAAACTAAGTGTGTAAAACTCATAGGACTAACTTTCAGATCATTGTGCAGAGCATGGCCAACAAGAATTCTTCCTTTAGTCAGCTCAGCAACTTTCTTCTGAACGGCATTGAAATTCTTTGCTGCAGAAAATGTTGGCTTTAAGTTTATATCATTTGTAAAGTTCCTAACTTTCTTCATAGGACATATATAAACATATAAAATCAAAGAAATGATCATAAGTTGAGGTGCTGAAGCTTGGGTCGAACAATAATAGAATATTAAAACCAAAAAAGCTATGAGCAGAAAAACAATCGGGGAATGCTATGGAATTGAGTAGAATATAGTTCAAGTGGTTAATATCAGAGACTATGGAAAATACAAATTTGTGTGTGTGAGAATAATGTGTGTATTACTTTATTTAATTATTAATTATTCAAATATTTCTGAACTTATTTTATTTTTTATTATTTTAGAAATAAATATTATTCAAAATTAATGCTATCGTCTACATAACCTATAGAAATAAGGTTATCACAATACCTTGAATATAACCTAAACTCATACATGGTAATAATGTGAGATTATAAGGGTTATTGTATAGCTTGAACCACCACACAAGGTTGGCTAAATTTTACCAAAACCACAGAATGTGGAGTATATGATATACTCCGTACTACGTATAAGATTTAAGATCAAATACATATAGTCCTTCCCACGAAAAATAGGAATAAATTTGGAGCACCGGATTTAGGATCTAATGACTCTAAATATATAAAAAAATGCATTAAAGTGGATGAAAAACGCAGTGCCATTTTCGTAAATAAATCAAAGTTTTTCTTCTTTCCAAAAAGTGGACTTCCAGCATGCAATAGTGTACCGCAAAGGACCAAAAGTGGATGGCGGGAAATTTTTCAATGTAATAGTGCAACTCGGCTGCTCAAAAGTGGATGTGTTCGCATTTTGTATTTTAAGACTACTTTTTATTGGAACTGGACCCTGATATATAATACCAACCAAGTGGCCCCTTATGTGACAAGCATTAGAGATGTTATGGATAGGGCAATATAGTTGCTTTCCTAACCTGTTAGCTTACCGCAGTTTTTTTAGTAAGTAACTTGCTTCATTACCGTACAAAAGTATCATCACTTTTCTTCAACTCATTATGAATTTTATAAGTTGTTCTGTTTTTATATGCTAAAATATCTAAAAAGGCTCAACCTCTCTTCAAGTGGTGAGGTCTGATTCCACTTATTTTGGTGCGGAAATCAACAACATATTCCATTGGCCGGACATATTCATCATATATAACATTTCCCCATCTGTTTATCTGTCCTGACACATGTAATTGAAAATAAAACAAGCAAGTATGATTAGAATAAAAAAATATATTTAAAAAGCATTGTTCTGAAACTTTTGTATTATTGTCTTTTTGGTAATGAAAATAGCTCCTACATACTGATAGGAACCCTAACAATTACAGAAGTTCACTAACAAACGGAAGAATGGTAACTAAGAAAACTGAAAGCTTCATTAATGGAGAATCCGAGTACACAGCCCCAAAGAAGGAGATAAACTCCAACTTCCCAGTCCCAGACCAAATGAGTCTCAACAGCCTACCTGACTTATCCCAGCTTATTCTATTTATACTACTCTAGCTATTACTCTTCTTATTTACTCTCATTCTACCGGGTCCCTAACATATCCCCCCCCCCCCCTAAACATCCACCTTGCCCTCAAGGTGGGTGATAGGAAACAGCCACAATCTTCTGCTTCCTCTTCCTCTTTCTTGTTCCTCTTCCTTCCCAATATCTAACTGGTTGATGGACTAGGGACTTCAGTATGGGATCTTTTAAAATCACAGAACCTTCAGCAGCAGAAAGTGAATCTTCCTTTGGTTCAGTCACCTTCCCGTACTCCCTATCAAAAATTATTTCTTCATTTTTCTGCAGCTTCTCCTGATTTCTATGTTCTGAAACTGATACTGTACTGAATGCAAACTCCTTTTTGTACCTTCCAACTTCTTCCTCTTTCAGTTCTTGGCTTATCTCATTTGATAAGGAAGACATAAAAGGCATTAACAAGCAAAGGTAAAAATATCCTATCCCATTCAAATGCACAATAGCAGAAGAAACAACTGGAGAATAGTCTTGATGATCCTTTGAAATATAAGGAGCAGAAAGTCCCTCTTCGACCTTGGTTTTCAAAATGGCTGTAATCATAGTAGACGAGTGCCTCCCAATAGTCAATTCCTGATTGTATATAGCTGTTTCCAATTCTTTATCATTCATAACAAGCCTGCCACCGCTCACAACCTTCATCCAAGTTAGTGAATCTCCATGTGAAATCACTGTCCCAATTTGAACATTAACACATGATTTCCTAAAAAAAAAAGATAAAGTTCCCCAGAAAAAGGATAAACATGATCCTCAAGACCCACTGGACCAGACCTCTTCTGTTCCAAGCATGTATATCCTGAAATTATGTCCTTGATTTTACGTAACCCAGTTTCAAAAGTTCCCAATGGACCTGGTTGGCGAAGATATTCAACAACGGAAATGTTGTTCAATCCTTCCAACACAATGTTTGATGACTGGCGATACATCATATCAGTTTTGCAGACATTTGGCCATTTCCTCTTCTGTTCAAGATGAGAATACTTTTCACATACCTGAAGAAATTTGAACCTATTGGTTTCAAGGTCTGATTGGTCAAGATCATACATGGGAAACATCTTACATCTGGAAAATCCAACAACTGCTCCCTCTTTAAGTTCAATATTAACTGAAGATTTCTCATTGCATTCCTCTTCAGGGTCTGATTCCTTAACTGACTGTACAACCAGTTCCAATTCTGTGTTTATTGTTGTTGGTAGAGTCCCTGGAGATCCCTTTTTTGATGCGATGACAAGAGTGGCTGAACTGTGAGATCCAGCGATTGAAGAAACCTGCGAACTGGGCACTTCTGCTTGCGTCACAGCCAGAGGACCAGAAGACTTTGTTTGCGCACTCAGAAAAACGGCTTGAGAGGAAGAATTCTGCGAATGGTGAGAACCCGTTCGCGATTCCGTTTGGGAACTTGTGAGCGTTTGGGGCGAATTTTGTTTGTCCGATAGCGAAGAGCGATGAGAGGAGTGATGCGAAGAGCTATGCGAAGAACGATGCGAGGTGTGCGACGATGGGGAAGACTCTGTTCGCAACTGGAGACGGTGAGAAGATCTTCGCGATTGCGAACTATGCGAAGAAGTTCGCGACTCCTTCTGCGAACTGTTGAGCGATGGCGACGAACTGGGATACGCAGAAGACCGGCAACTTTTGGGGCTCCTTGATCGATGTCTGCGATGAAATTGGTCCATACTGTTCAGCAGGTCTTTCATCTTGTTCAGCATAGCATTCATCCCTGCGTTCATCTCTTTCATCTGGCGATTCAGATTGTCCATTCTCTTTTCCATTTGCGGTGTCATGTAGAAATCCTCCATGATTCCGATTCTCCGTCTCCAGGAAGTAACGTGCTCTGATACCACTGATAGGAACCCTAACAATTACAGAAGTTCACTAACAAACAGAAGAATGGTAACTAAGAAAACTGAAAGCTTCATTAATGGAGAATCCGAGTACACAGTCCCAAAGAAGGAGATAAACTCCAACTTCCCAGTCCCAGACCAAATGAGTATCAACAGCCTACCTGACTTCTCCCAGCTTATTCTATTTATACTACTCTAGCTATTACTCTTCTTATTTACTCTCATTATACCGGGTCCCTAACACATACTTCCTAAAAGTTACTACGTATAATAGTTGGTGTAAAATAATGAATAGTTCAAAACATCCAAGAGTGTGTTCTTTTGTTATAAGATATGATAAAAACTAAAAAACAATTACTCTATTAAGAACCCGAAAGCTAGCCCTAGTCCAGGCCTTATAGCTTGGTTGTCTCGGGTGTGTAAGCCACCAGTTTGGGGTAATACCGTCCACAAACCAATCGGAAGGGATACCACCCAAGGCCATGTGGTAAGAATTTACCATAAGATGCTTTTAACAATATTCCACCCACAACAGCAGTTGCAATGGTGTGCGCTAGTCAGACAATGCAAAAATATCTCTAATGGGTGGTTGAGAATCTCTGATTGACCATCTGTTTGAGTGTGGTAGGCTGAAAAAAAAAGACAAGCTTGGATTCCACTAAACAGAATAACTCTCTCCAAAAGTTACTGACAAAGATTTTCTGTCTAAAACAATGGGTTCTTGTAATTTATGATGCTGGACAATTTCGGCAAAAACACCTCTGCAACCAAGACGGTGGTGAAGGGATGACCCAAAGGAATAAAATGTGCCGCTTTAGACAAGCGGTGCACCATCACCTGTATTGTGGATTTGTCGTGAACCTTCAGGAGACGTTCCACAAAATCTATTGAGATATCTAACTAGATCTGTTCTGGAATTAGAAGCACCTGGAGTAGGCCCATCCGTTGAAAGTGTAACCACTAGCATTGTTGACATGTTTGACAGTCCCATATATGTAGCCACTGAACTTTTCATACCGGACCAATAGAACTCACGTCATAGCCGCTTGAAAGTTTTTCAATGCCTTCATGTGCCATCCCGTGGAAGGTGGAAAGAAGTGTAGGTATCATAGCTGATTCTAAAAGCAAAAACAGATCGTGACAAAAATAGATTGGTTTGCTTGGATCCTGTCTAACAGTGTGTTAAAAGGAATTGGGAGAGCTGTCACAGAAGTCCCACTCTGTCAAGTCGAGATAGAGAGTCAGCAATGGTGTTAAAACGTCCTGGTTTGTCAATGCGGAAATTAAATCTAATTAACTTGTTGAGCCAGTGTTGTTTGGATGTAGCCAAACGTTGGTCCAACAGATATTTCAAACTCGAATGGTCAGTGCATATGACAAATCCTGGCTCCACAACTTACTGCCACACGTAAGTCCACCAGTGAGTAATTGCTTTGGCAAGACCGATGAGTCCCTTTCATATATAGCTAATTAGACATGTCGATCTTCAATTTTATGGATGAAATAAGCTATTGGGTGCCCTTCTTGCTGCAAAACAGCACCTATGTCACTACCAGAGGCAGCACATTCCACAACAAAAAAGCGATAGTTTAAGCACAGGTGTAGTACACAAATAGAGTTGAATGCTGCCTCTATTGCTGCGTTCTAGGTGAATTAATTATCGGGTATTAGCCCTTAATAGGATTAAAATTAACCCAAAATTCAATAATAGGAGTACAATCCCTTTATTCCCAAAATAGGACTAATATGTCCCTTCTTCTCATTCTACCTCTTCCTATAATTTCCAATAGATTTATTTTATTAATAAGAAAATCATAGTTTTATTTATAATAAAAATATAACAAATAATAAAATATTTATAAATTAATATAAATTAAGAATAATAACGTGAAAAAATAAAATAAAAAAATAAAAAAAAAATAAAATATTTAAAAAACTTTAAAAAAGTCTAAAAAATAAAATAGAATACCTAAAAAATATTTAAAAATATGTAGGTCACTGCCAACGCGTCCTCTACCTCCAAGCACCGCCAGCTCCGGTCGCCGGAAAAAAATGTCATCTTGTGTAAAAAATGCCACATTTCTCTGAAAATGCCATGAAGATGGCATTTTTACTCTTTGAAAATATCCATCTTTCTCTTCTAAATTGCCATCATGATGACATTTTCCCCCCAACTTGGCAATCTTTTCTGGTGACCGGAGGTGGCGGTGCTGGAAGGTGGCTGAGGTGGTGGTTGAGGTCTGTATATTTTTTATTTGTTTTTTGCGATTTTTATTTTTTTATTTTAGTTGTTTTATATTTTATAATGATTGTTTAAAAAATACTATTAGGAAGGACAAAGGAAAGGGTAGAATAGGAAGAGTTGGTCCTATTTTGGGGATGTTAACTTTAAACTCCTATTGTTGCAATTATCCTTTTATTTAGTCCTATTTAGGTAATAAATCTCCCATTAATTATTTACAAGAGATGGGATAAAAGTGCAGCTATCTCCCCAAAATGTTGAATAAATTTGCGGGTGTAGCCTGCTAGCCCCAAGAACCCTCTTAAGGCCTTTGTCGAAGTGGAGCACGTCAGTCACGGACAACCTGAATCTTTGTCGAGTTGATTTCCAGCCTTTTGCTGTGAATACATGCCCAAAATATTTCACCTTTGAAGCCCCAAAACTGTACTTGGACTGTTCCAGGAAGAGGGAATGTGAGCGTAGTAGTTCCAAGATGAGGCATATGTGAATATGTGATACACATGCTAACCACATTTTTTTGTAGATAAGGATATAGTCAAAGAAGATGAGGACAAACTTCCGTAGATATGGCCAAATGATATCATGCATGAGGCTCTAAAACGTGGAAGGTGTGTTAGGTAGGCCAAATTGCCAAATGGCATGACTAGGAATTTGAAGTGCCCATGATGTGTACGGAACACTATTTTCTCCACATCCTCGGGGGTTATTCGGAACTGGTGACATCCTGAGCGTCGGTCTATTTTTGTGAAGTCGCCCCATGAAGCTCATCCAATAGTTCATCAGAATGGGAAATTTGTCCTTGACAATTAGGAGTTTGATTTACAAACAAGGAGGGCGGGAGAGGAGAACAGAGAGTGACTTGATTGAATAAATCAAATAGACAACATCTCACCACATTGTTTTTCGATCCCATCCTTTTGAAAATAAGGATACCAGTACCGATGAACTACAATGGAACCCATGCCTGAAAGTAGAGTAATTCAGGTAATCACATACACGTTAGGGTGGAGCCTAGATGGAGTGTGAAAAAAGTTCATCGAAGTGTACAAGGATCTCATCGAGAGAGGGGCTAGTGACGTCTTGGCAGATTGCCATGTAAGAAACTGCAGAGACACTGGTATCACGACCCTGCCATGTCACTGTAGTACCTTTCCAGATTTTCAGGTGAAATGCAGGGATAGATTTGCAAAATCCCCTAGGATGGAATTGAGCCCGCATAGCAATTAGACACCCAAAAACGTATCAAATCCAGACAGCGGTAATACGTAAATATCAGCATGAAAGTGACTGAGACATATGATCAACAACTAACAACTAACGGTTAATACCAAAGAAATACCATGGCACAAGAGCGAACAAAGACTGAACTCGATAACTGTGTCAGAGAGGCTGCGCGAGTGCGCGACCACCAACACCACCTAGTGACTACCAAACGTGAACCAATGTGCTTTAGTGCTTCCACATAGAACAGACAGAGGTAACCAAATATTATTCAATTATTTTCGTGTAAAACTATATATATTAGGTTTGGTTGCGGTGAGAACACTTCTTCTCGTGAGAAATAACAACGATCCAAAACGATGCACATTATGGTTCAAGGAGATGCACATTTATGGTTAAAATAATGCACAGTTCGAATGTGCGCATTTGTGGTTAAAATAATACACAGTTCAATTGCACATTTTCTAATTTATGGTAGTGCACATTTTTGTATCACATAATGCACAATAACCAAACCTAACGCTCCAGAATCATTTTCATTTCTCTCCTTAGATCATGTTCTCATTTGAACCAAATTCTATGTGTGTGTGTGTGTTCATATTTTATATATTTCTACATATATGTAGAAAGAACTAGAGAAAGAAATCTCAATTTAGTTTATTCGTTCTATGTAATACAAGAAGAAGATTACATAATATATATAGCTAGAGAAATATAAGCTGGAATAAAGAAATAGTAGTATAATAATATAACTAATAGTAATAGTAATGGTAATGATAATGGTAATAAAGTGTGAGTAGTAATAGTAATAGTAATTGTAATAGTAATAGTAATAGTAAAAATAACAATAACAATAACAATAATAATAATAAATTAATAACAATACAACAACATCCAAACCTTATTCCCAAAAGATTTTAGGGTCGGCTAACATAATCGATCCATGATATTGAAGCCAAAAACAGAAGAAACATAAGAAGAATAAAAAGATAAAGCAAGATAAAAAGTATAAGATGAAGATAAATATAAGATAACAATAACATAAGATCATAAGAAAGATAAAAGATAAAAAGATAACAGAGCATAAGAAAGATAAAAGATAAAAATAACATAAGAACATATAAAGATAAAGAAGAGAAAAGATAAAAGAAAAAGAGAGAGAAGAGAGAAAAGAGATCAATCTTCCACACTGCGCTCTCCACTTTGCTCTCTCCAAAATCATACTCTCATGACTCATTCAACCCAAGAAGAAGCATATATGTTATAATTCCTCTAATCCAAGTCTGTTTGAGTCTTTCTCTCCCTCTCCTCGCCGCCTCTTCTCCCCACTCACAAGTCGTCTAATATGTGCTTCACTCGGTCTTCTGCGCACATGATCAAACCACCGCAATCGATACTCCTGCATTTTATATTCTATAGGTGTTACTTACACCTTTTGTCTGAATATCTCATTCCTCAAACGGTCTTTTCTGATATGTCCACACATCCAACGCAACATACGCATCTCTGTCACTCATCTTTTGGATGTGACATTGTTTCACCGCACAACATTCTACGTCATACATTAATGCATGCATAATTGTTGTCCGGTAAAATTTACCCTTCAGCCTAGTCGGCATACCTCGATCACATAGAAATCATGATGCACTCTTCCATTTCATCCACCCTGCTCTGATTCTATGAGATACATCTCCATTTAATTTACCATCCTTCTAAATTATGGAGCCAAAGTAAAGGAACATATCACACATTATTATCTCCTCGCCATCAAGAGTAATCCCACAAAAACAACAACAACATCATCAACATTAAAACAACAACAATAGGGACAATATCATTTTTTCAACTTCAGCCACTTCTAAATTGTTGACTGTTGGGTCTTTGGATTCTTAGTATATCGGTTGTATGTGTGGCCCGAAAAGGAGTCCACAACATATTCCAAGAAGCAAACTTACATTGGTGGAACAACTCCATAGAAAATAAATCAATAGATAGAGCAAAACTGCAAAAGAGAAAAGTAAATACCAATGTGACTCGCCCAAGTGCGCTCTTGTGTCCAAGAGAGCTGACACCAACCATTTCGCAATCCATGGCTATCACATTAGTAACACTGCAATACAGCAAATGAGCAATAAACACCTTAGGAATAATAACTGGAATGAAGGTCATGGGAATCTATGCATTGCACTTTGCATAACCGCTATTTCTACTACGGAGGTAAATTTGCAACAACTCACTAAGCAAGACTTCCATTCCCAAAATGTCGCTAATGTTAACTCGCTAAGGCTTGTCACGAATTATGAAGTTATTATGAAATTATTATCTTCCACTTTATGTTAACCAAGGGGTTTGACTTTTTTTGCTTACTTTTTCCCTTAGGTCATTAAGATCAACAAGTCCAAAAATTATTAAAAAAATCAAAGATATGAACAATTGGAACGGGAGTTATGTGAGCTTTCATTACTTGAGAATAGAGTTGAGGAGGATGCACATCAAAAGGTTGTATAGGTGTATCAATATGCAACCTGGGTTTAGATTTACCCAAACTGTGTTTCTCAACCGCTCTCCCAAACACAACCAAAAATTGATTGTACAAAAGAATATGAAACTAATGAAACATTAAACATTCATGAAAGATAGTCTATATGAGTGAAACATTCATGGAGACCATGTGTGAAACAAATTGAGGCTTTTCAATAACAAGCCTTTATGCCTTCTAATAAAGTCTTATTCAGCTCAAGTATGAGTGTTCAATGTTTAAAATCAGAAATAGCCTAAATATCAATTTTTTATTCTTCAATAAAGGCCATGTTTCGATAATTGCATTTTGCTAAATAAATGAGCGTTTTTACTAACTTTGGTGTTTTCAGTCAATGAAAATACTGATTTAATATGTTTGGTGCACTGCGGGTGGGCTTAGCATTTCGAGCCAAAAATGCCGAAATAAAAATGCTGAGAATAGTAACACTTTCATTCAATGTTTTGTAATAAATTACTATCGTATTAATTATTAAATGTTAAAATATAAACTAGAATAATATTGAAGATAGAGAGAAGGATTTTCTATGTGTTTATTGAAGGGTTGAAGTCCATATAAATATATATATATTACAAGATAGAATATTCATATAAGATTCTATAGCATAACAATATCCTAGAGTAACTTCCTAAATATTCCAAAGCATATTCCTACATGGCTACATCATTCTAATATAATTGACATTCCCCCTCAAGTTTGAGCATAGATATTTATCATGCACAACTTGTTACAAAAATAATCAACTCGAATCTCATTTAGTGCTTTCGTGAATAAATCGCCAAGTTATTCTCCGGTCTTCACATATTCGGTAGATATCCCTTTTGTAACTTCTCTCGAATAAAATGACAATCAACCTCAATATGTTTTTTCTCTCATGAAATACCAGATTATTCGCTATGTGTATAGCAGCTTTATTATCAAACCACAATTTAGCAAGCATTGATGTCTTCAATCTGAACTCACTCAATAAATGACCTATCCATATGATCACACATGCAGATTGCACCATAGCTCAATATTCTGAGTCAACACTCAAACGGGAAATCACATTTTGTTTCTTACTCTTCCGGGATACTAGGTTACCATCAATAAAGACACAATAGTCAGATGTAGATCTTCGATCATCTTTAGAACCAGTCTAATCAGCACCATAGCTCAATATTCTGAGTCAACACTCAAACGGGAAATCACATTTTGTTTCTTACTCTTCCGGGATACTAGGTTACCATCAATAAAGACACAATAGTCAGATGTAGATCTTCGATCATCTTTAGAACCAGTCTAACCAGTCTAATCAGCATCTGCCATGGCTTATGAGGCGGGTTCTGAGGCGCGCCTCAAGCTGAGGCGTACTGGTTGGGTATCAAGGTGTATATTTTTTTTCGCAGGTAAAGAGGCTTACGCCTCATAGATTGAGGCGCACGCCTTCAGGCGTGACTTGAGGCGTTTGTTGAGGCGCACGCCTTGAACACTTGCGCAGTGACTTAAAACAGGCCCAAGTATTTCATTTAATAAAAGCCCAGAGTTCTTTCTAAATAGAAGCCCATATACTAAACCCTAACAAGTCTTATTTCATTCAAATCATGATAAGGATTTGAAGGATTTGAACCTTAACGTATATTTTCTATTCACCTACGCAAAGAACTCTCTCTTCTCCTGCGACATCTCCTTACAACAGCCCAAAAGCTTCCAGGTAACTTTTCTTCTCCTCTCTTCTTCTCCATCCCCTTCTCTTTCTCCTATTCTTATTCAACTCCTCTCCTTCATTTCTTCTCCTTCACTGCTTTTTATCCTTCTTTTACAGAACTGTTGTTCTTCTTCTCCTTCACTGCTTCTTATCCTTCTTTTACAAAACTGTTGTTCATGTTTTCTAATTGGTAAAGGATTTACTTTGCTTCCTTAGTCATGTCATTAATAATACTTCTGTGTAGATTTAGTTTAATGGTGAGAGGTTCAAAGAAAAGATGTCATGCTTCTACTGTTACACCTAGTAGTTCTGAAGGCCTTGGTGATGCAATTTGTGTGGGTTGTTTCTGTGTGTTTGTGAGACTGTGATGTGTCTGTTTTTGTGAGATGTTTCTTTTTGTGTGTTTGAAGCCTAGTGACTTACTGGTAATAGGTCACATGTATTTGTGTCTCACACTTTTTGGACTTATAATTATGGATATCCTTTACTTCTTGAGTTGTTTGTTACTAGTTTAATTATATCAAGTTTTATAGTCTGTATTTTTTGAGGCTTACGCCTCAATACGCCTCAAGGCTTACGCCTCGCCTCTTAGGAACAAACCGCCTTGAAACCCAAACCCGCCTTTTTAAACCTTGGCATCTGCAAAACATTCTATTCTCTAGTGATCATGGTTTGATAAACAATATCTCGTCCTAGTGATCCCTTCAAGTAACATAATATGTGTTCTACATTAGCCCAATGATCAATGGTTGGAGATGACATGTACTGACTCACTACATTCACAGATAATTAAGCTTTCCAACCAATCTTATATATCTTTCTGGGTCTTCAAACCACATGCTTTCTTGAGTGAGTTGCACAATGGGAGCCATGGGAGTATTGTTCAGCTTTGATCCGAATTATCCTGTTTCATTAGCAAATCAGGTACATATTTTCGTTGAGATAGAAATATGCATTTCTTACTCCGTGTTACCTCAATACCTAAGAAGTATTTCAATGAGCCTATATTTTTTGTCTCAAATAGGTTATGAAGAAAAATCTCAAGGGCCAAAATACATGCATTATCACTCCATGTAATCACAATATCATCTACATACACCACAAGCAATGTAATACATGCGTTCGTTCGTCTATAAAAGACAGAGTGATCTGGTTGATCTTTCATCACTCCAAACCGTTCAATTGATTGAATGATTTTCCACACCATGCACTAGGACTCTATTTTGGAGCATATAGAGATTTGCGAAGTCGACAAACTTTCCCATGCTCGCTTTGAGCAACAACAAATAAATCTCAGAGGTTGCTCAATATAAAGTTCTACCTATAAACTTCTTCCTGCAGGTTACCGCGCAAGAATGCATTTTTAATGTCCAACTGATGTAAGTGTCATATATGAGTTACAACAAGTGAAATAAGTAATCAGACAAATGTTAATTTAGCAACAAGAGAAAAGGTGTCAGCATAATTAACACCATAGGTTTGAGCATAACCCTTCGCACCTAATCAGGCTTTGAACTAGTTTTAAATCCAATAGACTCTTTCCCTGCACGCAATGTTTGAAATTGTGCAATAGAATTGCGCCTTAAGGCGCGCCTCATCGATTTTAAGGCTTGTTGCGATTAAAGGCGAATCTTATTTTACGCCATAAGAACGCTAACGCCTTATAATAAGTCCCTACCTAAAAAAGATGGCCCAGACGAATTTCAAACCATCTCCCTCTCTACGCAGTATGCGGCAGTCCACCTCTCCCTCTATACTCGGTATTAAATTTTTTACATCAGCTCTTTTGTAAGCTTAGCGCCTGTCCATCTATCCTTCTTGTGGCTCTGCGTTGTTCTTATTTGTGTACGGCTGTCCCTCAAGTGTGTGTCGGCATGCTAAGTAGGTACTAGGGAGACGAGATTATATACAGAGTAATTACCTTCAGTGGGTTCCAAAGTATTCTTCTACACTTATGATGCACCGCGGGTAATATCCTTTGGTGTTTCTTGAGATGATTATTAGATCACTTTGAGTGAATTCCAGCTAGATTCCATTTTTTTGTTTAATGTTTGTTTAGGCTCAAAATTACTTCTTGCCACGAATTTTACTATGTTTTCTCTGTTTTAGGCAATGTTTTTAATTATTTATATTCAAAATTTTCTTTTATTCTTAGTGGAGATTTACTTTTCATATAATTTGAAATTTTGTTTCAAGTATAATCATATATTTACTTTAGTTTGGATTATATATGTATATCAAATAATGTTTAAATATTGCCATTAGCAATTCTCTTTTGCATTCATCAATCCAAAAACTTAGAATTTTAGAATAAACAATTTGTATGATGACATTTTATGACGTTATTGTTAATTTGGTAATTAAATATGTTATTTTGAATGAATTTTTATGTATTATTAGTTATAAATTTTTTATATAATTTTTTTCCTAAGCATTAAGATTTACGCCTTAGCCTTACGCCTCAATGCGCAATGAGGCTTACGCAATACGCCTTGGGAAAAACGCCTCAACTCCGCAATGCGCAATTTCGAACATTGCCGGCAGGTGAGTCTACCAAATCACAAGTATCATTAAGATCCACAGGATTCATTTCCTCTACCATGGCATGACGCCATGGTAGAAAGGGCCAATGCTTCTTTAACAGATTTTGGAATAGAAATAGAATCAATGGAAGCAATAAACAAACATGAGGTAGTAGATAAATGATGGTCGATGCTTCTTTAACAGATTTTGGAATAGAAATAGAATCAATGGAAGCAATAAACAAACATGAGGTAGGAGATAAATGATTATACGACACAAAAGAAGAAATAGGATGAGTACAAAACCGTGTACCTTTACATGGTGCTATCAGAAGGTCAAGGTCTGATGTAGAGACAGGATC